TCTTTAAAAACAGTAACGAACCGGGAGCAATTAGGATTGAAGCACGAGCAACCCAAGACTGTGACTCAGCGTTTAAGGGTTTCATTGAGTGAAGTCTCTGAGAGAAAGTAGCGACATGGGTTCGATCTGATAACCTAAGCGAACAGATTTGTAAAGCTGCAAAAAGAGAATTAGATTAAAATCACAAATCAAGAAAATCTGGAAATGATTTTCCCGAGAAAATGAAGGAAAGAAAAAAGTTAGTACCTTTGGGATCAGAAGAAGCTCCTGAGCGAGAGAAACTCGATCCAGAGATCGCAGTTGAAGAAGAAGTAACAGCTAAAGCCATTTCTATTCAAAAACAAAAACTTTCTCTGTCGAATCGAGGAAAAATCTGTCCTTTGATTCTTGTTGAATTCGCAGGGCTAGAATAGTAGATTAGGAACAAGCGTTAAATAATGGCCGACCGAATAAGGCTCTGAGAATCTGGACGTTTATACGGATTGATTCGTTTTCATGACGTGGCGGAGTTTGAGTGGTGGAAGATAAACTGGAGAAATACAAAACTCAGCGTTTACGGATGCATCGCGTGGTGAGCACTGGTGTGTGAGATGTGGCGGCTTTTAATTTTCCAAAGGACACGGCTGAAAAAATTTGCAATTTTTTTTGAATTTTTTTAAATTTTACATTATTTTAAAATTTTAAAATTATTTTATAAAAGTGATTAAAAAAAAACAGAAAAATAGAAGAATAAATTGCACTTATATGTGTTTTGAAAAAGAAAAAAAAAATTCTTTAGTATAATTGTGGCATTAAGCTAAATTAAGGTTCATGTGTTTTAGAGCACCTCTATTGGTGTACTCTCTTAAGTGAGTATCTAATTTTAAAAATATTAATATTTTAGTATAATTTTGTTATTTAACTAAATTTTACTATTTAAAAAATATTTAACCAATAATAAAAAGACAATTCTCATAAGAGCATGATTAACAGTGAAATTATTATAGTCTCATGTAATTAAAAAAAATTAAAAAAACTAAATTATTTATTAAATTTTGGGATGATTCGTCTCATGTGGAAGAGACTTTTGATACATATCAGGCATTGGACCCTTTATTTTTGTTTTTACCCAAACCAAAAAACGAACAAAAAAAACTGAAAACACAATCATCTTCTATCTCTTGTTCGTCTCTTCACGATTCAGTTCCGATTGAGTTTGCTCTAATGTTTTTGCTGCGTCGACAAGTTCTGATTTCTTTGGGTAATTTCAAGTGCTAATCTCTTTAATTGTTGGGAAAATTAGGTGGAGAAGTGAAAAGTGGGAAAAAATCATGATAAGAAAGTTTAGAATTTTCTCTTTGCTTACAGTTTTGTGTTTGTTTACTCAATCTATGTTTCTTTCTCCTTTCGATTTGATAGGTTTCTGGGTTGATCGGATCCATGTAGGGTTTCTGAAATTCATTGTTTTGTTTTAGTGAATTTAGGGTTCAAGGTTTATGATTGATCTTCAATAAATACTCTTTGATTGATAAATGGAAGAAGCTTTATCTTCTCTTACATTCAAGGGTTCTGTTTCGACGTGTCTTTATTGCGATGTTCGCTAGAGGGTTTAAGTGATACGCGCTTGGTCTAGTTCTTATGCTCTATGCTCAAAAAGCTCTTAGAGGGTTGGTGAGATTCTTGATTTTGTTACAGAACAATGTGTCTTCACCAGTGATATTGGTGAATTGATGGAGACTTATCTTGCTGAAATCGCTTCCGATAGAAACATAAATACGAAGAAATTCATCGGTTTAGCTGAATGCATTCCTGAACAGTCTAGGATTAATGAAGATGGAATGTATCGAGCTATTGACATCTACCTCTAGGTATTATTAGGTTTAAAACGTTTACATTTTGCGACAAGGCTGAAACTTCTATTATGACTATTATGATTTAACAAGATTTGTTAAATCTTGTTGGTGTAGGTGCATCCGAATATAAGTGAAGTGGAGAAGAAGAAAGTTTGCAGCTTGATGGACTGTCAAAAGCTATCGCAAGAAGTTAGTGGTCACGCATGTCAAAACGATCGTCTCCATGTACAAACCGTAGTTCAAGTTTTTCACTACGAGCAACAAAGCCTTCGCCAAATTTTAAGCGATTCAGATTCTCCAGCAATTGTAACCGCATCAGAAATTCTTTCTCCTCCTAGGCTCAGCTACTACGACGACGAGCTCTCCAAATTAAACCACGAGAGTCACGATTTGAAGCTAGAGTTGCTCAAAGTGAAAAGGAAGTTCAAGGAGTTTGAGTAGTTCAGATTACTCTCTGGCTTCGATTGCTTCGGTGTTTAAGCCTGCAAGAAAGTCATTTATAAGTTTTGTTTCCCGAAAACTCGGAAAGCTTAACCCTTTTGGTATGTCACAAGGACGAACCGAACCATCAAAAGGCCAGAGACATTTTATATCTTTGAAACAATCCATAAACATTTGTTCTTGTTGAGGATTTCTCAATTTGTACATAAATTATTTTTTTATTCTTTACAACCCCATTGAGTATCACCAATAAACATAAATATATTAAAAAAAAAGTTAATGAATTTTTAAATATTAAATTAATATTAAATTTAATAGTAGAAAATAGTTTAAGAACCCTTATGAGTCTCACGGTTAATCATG